CACCAAGTTCGGGAGAGCCGGGGCTGGGTGTCAGGAGGGTCCCAGAGGTGTCACCAAGCTGGGGACAGGAGGGTTTTGGGGTCCCAGAGCTGTCACCAAGCCGGGGACAATTGGGGGAGTGCCACCAAGGTGTCACCAAGCTGGGGACAGGAGGGTTTGGGGGGTCCCAGGTGTCACCAAGTTGGGGACAGTCGGGGCTGGCTGTCAGGAGGGTCCCAGAGCTGTCACCAAGCTGGGGACAGGAGGGTTTTGGGGTCCCAGGGATGTCACCAAGCTGGGGACAGGAGGGTTTTGGGGTCCCAGAGGTGTCACCAAGCTGGGGACAGTCGAGGGGCTGCCACACCCCGCCCTGAGGGTGTCACCGGCGCGCACACAAAGTCCCATTGTCACCTCCCCGCGGGTGCTGGGTGACAGCCCCGCCCGTGCCACCGGGCACGGGGACACTGGGACACACCCGTGGGGACACCACTGCAGCCACCAGCGGGGACACCGCGGCGGTGCCACCACGCCGCTGTCCCCAGGTTGGTGACACCTCTGAGACCCTCCTGGCACTCCCCCAATTGTCCCCAGCTTGGTGACACCTGTGGCGCCCCAAAGCCTTCCCGTCCCCAGCTTGGTGACACCTCTGGGACCCCAAACTCTGCCGTCCTCAGATTGGTGACACTTCTGGGACCCCAAACCCCCCTGTCCCCAGCTTGGTGACACTTCTGGGACCCCAAATCCCCCTGTCCCCAGCTTGGTGACACTTCTGGGACCCCAAATCCCCCTGTCCCCAGCTTGGTGACACTTCTGGGACCCCAAATCCCCCTGTCCCCAGCTTGGTGACACTTTGGTGGCACTCCCCCAATTGTCCCCGGCTTGGTGACACTTCTGGCACCCCAAATCCCCCTGTCCCCAGCTTGGTGACACCTCTGGCACCCCAATCCCCCCTGTCCCCTGGAGCCACCAGCGGGGACACCGCGGCGGTGCCACCACGCCGCTTGGTGGCAGCTCGGGGACACTGCCGGGGCGGGGCTGACGGCTCCGTGTGTCACCAGGAGTGTCGCCGGTGTCCCCAATCCACGTGTACACGCAGCGCGAGGTTTATGGCACCGTGGGGTCGCGTGTCACCCTGTCCTGCAGCTTCTGGTCCAGCGAGTGGATCTCGGAGGACATCTCCATCACCTGGCACTTCCAGGCCGAGGGGTCCCGGGACAGCATCTCCGTGAGTGTCCCCAGGGTCCCCAAGGTGTCCCCAGGGTCACCAACCCCGGTGTCCCCACGTCTCTGTGCCAGCAGGACGGCTCCTTCCCCAAGGTGTCCCCAAGGTGTCCCCAAGGTGTCCCCAGTGCCCACCGGGTTCCAGCCCCAGCAGTGTCCCCGTGCTCTGTGGTGGCACTGGGGTGTCTCCAAGGTGTCCCCAGGGTGTCCCCAGTGTCCCCAGGGTGTCCCCAAGGTGTCCCCAGGGTCACCAGCCCCGGTGTCCCCACGTCTCTGTGCCAGCAGGACGGCTCCTTCCCTGAGGGTGGCACTGGGGTGTCCCCAAGGTGTCCCCAGCGTGTCCCCAGTGCTCACCGGGTTCCAGCCCCAGCAGTGTCCCCACGCTCTGTGGTGGCACTGGGGTGTCCCCAGCGTGTCCCCAGCCCCGGTGGCCAGCAGGACAGACCTTTCCTTGAGGTGACACCGTGTCCCCTCACACCGTGGTGCCACCGGGATGTCCCCACAGTGTCCCCTCATCCCAGCAGCCCCAGCAGGGCCACCCCTCCCTGCGGGTGACACCCTGGCACCGTGCTGCCACCGGGATGTCCCCACAGCGTCCCCTCAGTGTCCCTTTGCCCCAGCACCCACCAGACCCCAGGGACACCCTCACACCGCCGCGGTGCCACCTCGGTGACACCACCAGCTCCTCCCAACACCCCCGTCCCCTCCCCGGTGTCACCGCCGCCCTCCGGGGCCACCCCGGCGCGCGGCGACGGTGACACCGCTGTCACCGCGGGCAGATCTTCCACTTCGCCAAGGGCCAGCCGTACATCGACGACGTGGGGAGCTTCAAGGAGCGCATGGAGTGGGTGGGGAACCCCCGGCGCAGGGACGGCTCCATCGTCATCCACAGCCTGGAGCCCAGTGACAACGGCACCTTCACCTGCGACGTCAAGAACCCGCCCGACATCGTGGGAAAGTCCTCGCAGGTCACCCTCTACGTGCTGGAGAAAGGTCAGGGGTGGCCTGGTGGCACCTGGCTGAGACCCCGGGGATGGAGGTGACACCGGGCTGGTGGCACCTGGCTGAGACCCCAGGGATGGAGGTGACACTGGACTGGTGGCACCTGGCTGAGACCCCAGGGATGGAGGTGACACTGGGCTGGTGGCACCTGGCTGAGACCCCAGGGATGGAGGTGACACTGGCCTGGTGGCACCTGGCTGAGACCCCGGGGATGGAGGTGACACTGGACTGGTGGCACCTGGCTGAGACCCCGGGGATGGAGGTGACACTGGGCTGGTGGCACCTGGCTGAGACCCCAGGGATGGAGGTGACACTGGGCTGGTGGCACCTGGCTGAGACCCCGGGGATGGAGGTGACACTGGACTGGTGGCACCTGGCTGAGACCCCAGGGATGGAGGTGACACCGGGCTGGTGGCACCTGGCTGAGACCCCGGGGATGGAGGTGACACTGGCCTGGTGGCACCTGGCTGAGACCCCAGGGATGGAGGTGACACTGGCCTGGTGGCACCTGGCTGAGACCCCGGGGATGGAGGTGACACTGGCCTGGTGGCACCTGGCTGAGACCCCGGGGATGGAGGTGACACCGGGCTGGTGGCACCTGGCTGAGACCCCGGGGATGGAGGTGACACCGGGCTGGTGGCACCTGGCTGAGACCCCGGGGATGGAGGTGACACCGGACTGGTGGCACCTGGCTGAGACCCCAGGGATGGAGGTGACACTGGGTTGGTGGCACCTGGCTGAGACCCCGGGGATGGAGGTGACACTGGACTGGTGGCACCTGGCTGAGACCCCAGGGATGGAGGTGACACCGGGCTGGTGGCACCTGGCTGAGACCCCAGGGATGGAGGTGACACCGGGCTGGTGGCACCTGGCTGAACCCCGTTGGTGTCACCTCTCTGAGCCTCTGTGAGCAGGGGTGACATCAGGCTGGTGTCACCTGTCTGAGCCCCACTGGTGTCACCTGTCTGAGCTTCTGTAGGGAGAGGTGACACCGGGCTGGTGGCACCTGCCTGAGCCCCGCTGGTGTCACCTCCCTGCACCCCCGCTGGTGAGAGTGACACTTCACTTCCAGGGGGGTGACACAGTGCCACTGTCCCCATGCCCTGGGGGGGTGTGACACAGGGGTGTGACACTGAGGGTGACACCGGGGGTGTGACACAGGAGGGTGACACCGGGGCGTGACACCAGGGGGGTGACACCGAGGGTGACACCGGGGGTGTGACACCGAGGGTGACACCGGGGGGTGACACAGGGCTGTGACACAGGAGGGTGACACCAGGGGGGTGACACTGAGGGTGACACCAGGGGGGTGACACTGGGGTGTGACACCGAGGGTGACACCGGGGGTGTGACACCGAAGGGTCCCCGGGGGCGGGAGGTCGAGGGTGACACCAGGGGGGTGACACCGGGGGTGTGACACCGAGGGTGACACCGGGGG